ATTTATTTACCCCTTAAGTTTAATAGCGAGAAAATATATAGCCTAAAGCGTGTCGTAAGTGTAGGGCTTTTTATTAAAGAAAGAATTACTTAAAAATATACTGTGATTGCTGACACCCAACGCCACAAAATAATATGTTTACGCTTTATTATAATAGTATAGATAGTATAGAAGTTAATATAGATAATCATTGATTGTCTATTAAAACAGAAACATGCAAAAATATTTAATCACCAACAGATTGTATAACTTTTTATAGTAAAACTAGCTTTTGCACAACCACTAAGGGGCTTAGAGCCTACCCCAAATAATGGGTGCCTAGACCATTGTCACACACGCTGAACCACTGCGGGTTAACTTCACACATATCTTCGAATTGCTTAGCACATATACATAATGCATCACGATGTTTTCCTTCACCGTAAGAATATCAGCTAAATTATGTACAAATGAAATTAAAAAATCACATTAGAATGGCGGGATTCGAACCTAAGACCTGTAGTAAAATGGGCTACATTTTTTATTATTTTTTAATTGCACGGGGGCGAAGTAGCGAGCAACAGTTGGTTACATTAAAAATATCGCTTCAGTCGGCCGTAAGCTATAGTCTTAAATTATTTTCTCTTGAAGTTGTGGGACATCGGTATGAATGTCACCAACGTTTTATAAATAAAGGAAGCTTGATTTCTTGTATAGCACATATATTTCTTATATTATATAAAGGTACAATATACGTTACAGTCTAGAATAATATTCAACAGAGAGAAAGAAACCATGCTACCAATCTGACAGTTGTACCAAGCTTACTAAGATTCAAAATGTAACTGCCGATAGCGCTAGTTTAGAAATCGGTGCGAATGTGTCGCCACAAATTATTAATATGAAGATAATCAAACACATTATGTGTAATCACGATTTAATCTAAACAATTTAAATAGAAATTAAATTTAAATAATCTTAAGTTATACCATTTGTCTTTGAGTTCAACTCGTTCGCGTCTAATAGTTAAAAACTCGAACTATTAGTGGGTTCACATAATTTTCTAACACCAAATTGAGTACATGTATAAATAACATACATGGTAAGAAACATCCATCCATCCATTCCTATTTATAATCTATACTATTATAATAAAGCGTAAACACACACTTCTTTGTTGCCTAAGATGTCAGCAATCAACGCATATTTTGGAATAATTCTTTTTTAAACAAAAGCCTTACACTTACGTCACGCTTTGGACTATATATTTTCACGTCATTAAGCTTATAGGGTAAATATTTTGGATAAAATCCTAATGTGGGAAAGAGACCATAAGTTGCTGCCAATGACCATAAGTTGCTTCCTTGATGAAGCAAGGTTGTCATATGTCATTTAGACATTTGTAATTGATAATTCGACAAATGTGAACAATAAAATAAAATTTTCATAATTTTAGACAGAAGAAGTCGCACGGAAACAGCTAGTAGTAAAATAAAATAATACTGATAGTTTTTTTTTTTAAAAACATTAACTTGAAAAAATATTTACTGATATGTAAAAAATTAATTTACAAAGATAAATACAATATGTTAATTTAAATTCATCCATACATATAAATAAACTAGCTGCTCGCGTTAAAAACTATAAAAATTTTATTTTATTGTTTACATTTGTCAAATTCTCAATTGCAACTGTCATAATGACATGACATGACAAACTAGCAATCATTCTTTCTTGATGTTGGCAGCAACTTATGGTCTCTTTCCCACATTAGGATTTTTTATCCAGAATATTTACCCCCTAATGGCGTAAAAATATATAGCCTAAAGCATGACGTAAGTGTAGGGCTTTTTATTAAAAAAATAATTATTTAAAATTATGCTGTAATTGCTGACATCTTAGGCAAGAAAGAAGTGTGTGTTTACACTTTATTATAATAGTATAGATACAGATAGAAGTTTAGATTATTCCTGTCCATTTACCAAGCCATGTTCCATCTAATCTCTGAAACACAATTTAAATAGAACCTTCAAAAATAGTAACTAATATAGAGTAACATAGGCTTTTTTACACTGCCTTTTGCCTGACAATACATATACGGATTCAAAAAAAATAAGTTAAGTCTGTGTTCTTCCAGACTATTCTATATCTGAGATTCATGAAGATATGTTAATCCATTCCAGAGATACCTCCTAAAACATCCCTCTACTCATATGATCATTTGCATTTGAAATACTTATTGTACACTTGCTTTCGCACGCGACTCCGTCCACGTAGAATTAAAAAAACCAAAAGCAAGTAGTCTACATGTGCTTCCAGACTATCATTTACATCTATACCAAATTACATCAAGATCCATTCAACTTTAGGCTACAAAACAAACATTCGTCCATCTAAATTTTCACATTTTTATTAGTAAGATATTTTAATTGCATAATTTTCAAATTTAATCCCACACAAAGTCACAGGCAGAAGTTAGTTGATTATAATATTATCTTATCTTTAATTCTATGTATTGTTTATGCATAATTTTTAGTGTTTAGATTACCGTATCTGTAATATTCATCAATACATTAACATGCATAATAATTACAATATTATAAGAGCCTGTCCCACTACTGGCTGATAGAGGCCCAGATAGCTTAAAAATGTAACTGTGAGAAAAGGAAACGAAATTCGATATTTCATCACATTTACACATTGGATTATTAACAGACAATTTACAATTTGGTGGGAAGAGCCCTAAATGTGATAATTTAAATGGATGGATGTTCATTACTATGTATGGAAGCTTAAACAGATCTAGATGGAACCTAGAATAAGGAAAGATTACAGTCTAATATAGTGTTAAAATTTATAAAACTAGTTTTAATTATTTTTGTAAATCAAATAATTTAAAAAAAAAAACATGATTGCATTAATCCTTATAAATGTCAACAGATAAATACAATTAGTTTTTTGGCCTTTTTTTGAGTATAAAAATGAGAAAACACTCAAATCCATTAGTATTAGATCTTACCAAATTTTAGCATATTAGTTGTTGCTCGCGACTTCGCCTTGTGAAATTAAAAATAACAAAAATCATAGCCTATGTTACTCACTAATAACATAGCTTTTTAACAGTGAAAGATTTTTTTTTAAATCAGTCCAGTAGTTTTTTAGTTATTATTGTATATAAAAATGTTAGCTTTCCTCATTATAATATTAGTACAGATTAGACCATTTAATTTACTTTTCTTTTTACATTTAAAATAGACTGTTACTAGAAACTTTGCTTGGACATAACAAATAAATCAACTTAAGGTATGTTCATAGACATCCCTTTGTCTATTAGAAATTACATCCAGATATATTCAACTGTTCAAGACATATATATTATCAATACATGCAAACCTTTTCATTCATATACAAGCTTTGTCCCAGGATCCCATCATTGCAACTAAAAAACATAGCCTATGTATTCCTTCAGACTGTATTCTCTATTTCAAATCAGCTGTTGCTCACTTTGTCTGTGTGGAATTAAAAAAAATATACCCTGTATACTCACAGATAAATTACCTTTCTAATGTGAAAGAATTTTTAAAATTGGTCCAGTAGTTTTTGAGTTATTTCAATACATACAAGAATAGAAATCTTTCCTCATTATAATATTAGTATTGATTTAAATAAAATTGTTTAGCTATTCTGGGGATACAACAAGCATTTATTTAAACTCTTTCATTTACATTTAAGATAAGATTATTTTAGTAAACCAAAATAATCCAACATTCGCATATAAAAAATATCTCAGAATGTTTTCATACTTTTTCGAAGTCAAATTTCTTCATTTGTTGTGAACTCAACTCTTATACTATTGTGCAAGCAAAAAGTTAAAAATAACAAACATTTTTGGTTTTTTTTAACCTTCTTTTTGACCGACTTCCCAAACGAAGGAGGTACTCAATTCGTCTGTATGTTTTTTTGTTTAACACTCTACCAATATATATTATAAAGAGAAAAGATTTGTATTTTTGTATGTATTGAAAAAACTTGCTTCCTTAATGTTGGCAGCAACTTATAGTCTCTTTCCCACATTAGGGTTTTTTATTCAAAACATTTACCCCCTAAGTTTAATTGCGTGAAAATATATAGCCTAAACTGTGACGTAAGTGTAGGGCTTTTAATTAAATAAAGAATTATTAAAAAATATGCTGTGATTGCTGTCATCTTAGGCAACAAAGAAGTGTGTGTTTACGCTTTATTACATTAGTATAGAGTATAGAAGTATAGATAAAGATGTTTGTGACTACTAAGAAATTAAAAATAGTATTGATAAATATAGTTATCTAAGGGTAATAATTTAGCTTTCTAATGGTGAAAGAATTTTTGATATTGGTCAAATAGTTTTTGAGTTTACGTGTTTCATACAAAAATACAAATCTTTCCTTATATTAGGATAAATAAACTAGAATAAATAAAATATAATCATGTATAAATTATTCTAAACTCCATTTTAATAAAACATTACTAAATCTTGTGATGTTATGTTAAAAATTTTCACACGATACATTTGTGGTAACTCATTTGAATATTTTAAAAAAATCTGTCAGATTAAAATATGTAATCCATTTCTTCTTTCAAATTTTATTCACAATTTCAGAGTTTGATGATAAGGGTTTCTTTTTATTTCAAGAAATATTAAAAAATAAATCACTAAGGTATTTTTTTAAATTAAAACTTTTGGAAGATTATTAATAAACATATTACCAGATTAGGCAGCGATAAAATCAGATAGACTTAACACATTTTGAGACATAAAATCCTTTGTAGAATAAATTTAAATAAATCTATACTAATGTTATCTATGCAAATTGCTACTTCTGTATATGGATTAATGAAAGTCATTGGGATTTTTTAATTCAACTGGTTTGGATTTGAGTTTCATTGCTAATTAACACTGTTTTTGGAAACTCCTGTTCAGATATAATTGCAGCAGTTTGACAGACAGAGTTCTCTAGTGGGGTCAAGTCCGGAGTACTTACGGGTACGTGCAGCCGCGGACGGATCCAGCAACAGACGGCTGGCCAGCCGACTTACGATCTCGGCTGCGTCGTCACCCGCCGCTTCGTCCCCCAGACATCCGTCACAACATAAAAACACAATTCAGCCGAATGATTTCACGCACGGAATGCACTAGACACAACTATTAGATAAACAAAACAGTTAAAACATGCACTGCAACAAACATTCCGAAAGTTGCACTCGACATCGACACCGTCTCGATACTCCCATCGAAGCACTAACCCATATTCGAGCGGCGTATTACCGTGTAATGAACGGAATTATTACCAATTTACGGCACCGCGCACGACGTCCGTTCGCCGCGAGAAAATACAAGTAAAACGTTTTTCGAAAGCGCCTAGACACTCGCATGCGGACCTTTCGAAAAAGTACAAAATACAGTCGCGCGCTAAATAGGAAAATCGATAAGGCCGCCGACCGATCGTTGGATCACAACTAGAATAATAATTTATCAAAAAATGTAATAAAAACGACATTATTTCTTGTGACGGTTTCGAGCTGTCAGATTTTTCTATGTGAAACGCGGCCGATTGGAGCGGCGCGCCGTGTTCACCTCGGCTCATAGACGAGCGCGGCGTTCCAACTCGGACGGGTTGCGATCGCGTGTCAAGCGATTATCAACTCTATCGACGTCGACGGCCACTAGACTTTCGTATTTGGCGCTAAGTTCGCGAAAAATGCGAAACGGATGCTAATCCGTTTGTAAAACTTACGACTGTCGGTGTTCAGTGAATTGGAAAATGTAAAATAATAAAATAGCAGATAGCGGAGCGGAGCGCGACGAGCGTACACAGAAACGCGACACCGCGACACACTGTTTTTGAAACATTTGCCTCGACTCGACGTCATTTTTGGCGTATTTTGAGTTGATCGCGTACGGGAAAACTCGAAACCGCTCGGCCATCAGAGAGGGATGGAAACTAACGCTCGCGAGCGAAAGTGAACTTTATAACCCTTCCTTATAGTACTTTATATATCTAACAATTGTACAGTAAAATGAATGAAGCCGTACTATTTTAAAGTTTTTTTTTAAATTCTATATGAACTATGCTAGAGATTGAAGTAGAAACGAAGGAACGGCTGTTTTTCTATGTAAGTCTGCGTTAGTGTGCGCTTCCCGCACCGTCATAATACGGATAAAAAAATGCATTTGTGGTTGTGGGCGATATTGTACATTACATAAAAATTGTATAGCTCGCTTTGGCTTTAGGAATCGATAATCTAAAAATTCATTTTATATTTTCGAACGAGTCATGTTCGTGTTCTTTCGTCGAGTTTGTTGACTGTTTCGAAACTGACTTCCCTAGAAAATTATATACGGTACGGCCTCAACTACTAGCACAGCAATTGACTGTGTCTAATAGATTGTGCAAGACTTATTACATTTATATCGTAGGTACTTTTAAATTATTGAAAGTTCTTAAATTATTGTTTTAAAAACAAATTCTTCGTACAACGTAGGCTTGAACAGTTTGAAATTCCATTCGGGAGTCAAATATCACTTTGAAAACATGATTCAGCAAATCATGTTGAATAAATAAAAAAAATAAAGTGGTAATTGCGAGTATGACGAATTACTAAGTCGGCTGTAATAATGCTTATTTGAATTCTACACTTGTATTATTTTTAGCGGTTAAATAAACATGGAATGGAAAATTTACGCGGTCTATTGACTTTGTAGATAGTCTTGTATGTTTTTAAAATGAAATATCTTCTTATCTTTTGAAAAAAATACTAGCACATGTGAATTGTTTGTTATAATTATTTATGAAATTGTGATGTTCACGTCTCCTTTTATCTTATCAATGTTATTTCAAAACGCAATTGTATGAACATTTATTTATTACATTAACATAAAATACTTTTGATGTTGTGAAACAGCTTAAAAATTGTACAAAATTATATTTATTACGTCATATAATAGTTTTGTCTTTCTCATAATTTTAATCATTTTTTTTTCGATGTTTTTAAATACATTCGTCTATTAAAATTATTCAGTCAGTCTTTTAAGGTTAGGTTATTTTTTTGCATGATCAAAACGCAAACATAAGCAACGCTAATATTGATATCAATCTGTAACTTATAAAATTTGGCGCGAAATTACAACAAATCGTTCAAATTATCACAAGTACAAATTGTACAAGTAAAAAATGAATTTTTTCTAGTTATTTAGATTGCAAACTATAGAAACTAAAGGCCTCGAATCGAGACCGCATTCCGCCATCTTGCGAAATGTGTGCATAAGACCATTTTCGAAAAATTACAACTGGAAAAAAGGCAACTAAAACTGTGTCAACTCTTGTTTTTCTTACTTTAAGTTTGATTTCCAAACGGTCGGATAGCGAAATCTATGCGGCCTGTGAATTGGAGTTTTTAATAGGGTGACCAACTTGTTAATATTTTAGCAGGAACTAAAGAGATTTAAATAAATGTTATAGATCGGACATTACGATCACGTCCTTCAACTTTTTAAAACATAATCTATATACTAATCTTATTAATATTATAAATGCGAAAGTTTAGATGGATGGATGTTTGTTAGAGTTTGTAGTCTAAACGGCTGAACAGATTCCTATAAAATTTGGTACAGATGTAAAGGATAGTATGGAATAACACATAGGCTACTCATTTTTGTTTGTTTAATACCACGCGCACGGAGTCGCGGGCGAAAGTTAGTTACTGTATATTTTTGAATAAAATTAATAAAAAGCCCTGCACTTACAAGCTATAGACTTTATATTTTCACGCTGTGTAACTTAAAGGGTGAATAATTATTAAAAAATGTAATCGAGAATGGGACAAAAACTACAAGCCAATAGCAGCAAAGAAGCAAGATTGCTATGGTAACGGTAATTGTTAGCCAATGTCAAAGGCCTTCGTTGCAATGTCTTTGTTGCGAATGAAGCCGCAAGGGAACAGCTAGTCTGACTCTTTGAGCTTTAGTACTGTAATTTTATTTTATTTCTAGACTAGCTGTTGCATGCGATTTCGTGCGCGCGGAATTAAAACGAAACTTGATTAGTAGCGTATGTGTATTTACAGACTTTATATCTACACTAAATTTCATCGAAATTCGTTCAGCTTTTTAAGCGAATTTCGAATTTATAATATTAGTAAGATTTACAATGGGGAATGCGCGAACTTCGATTAAAAGTAAAAAATAATCAGTAAACATGGCCACCCTAGTGCAATACAATCCGCGGCCGACGACTCCGGTATTTTCCCACCTTTCTCCGCAATTCTGTTCGTTTCATGTTATATTGCACTTAGATACTTAGTTACTTAGTTACTATTCTCTGTCTCCATACGGATTACTAGAATTGCTTTAAAATTGTTTCCTAAACTAAATATATACTACAGATAAATGGACTTAAATTTAAAAATGTGTATATTCCGAGTGCATTATATTCATATTTACAAAAAAAACCTTTTATTGTAACTTTTATCTGTCCGAATATCCGCGTTTGTTCCATGAAATCTCTGAAACCGCTGTACCTTCGTATTTTGACGTTTTTTTTTAATCTAGGCTTTTTTAACTTCTCGTCGTTGAAGTTGTTAACAAATAGGTTAAAAAGAAATTAATCTTACTAATATTATAAATGCGAAAGTTTAGATGGATGGATGTTTGTTAGAGTTTGTAGCCTAAACGACTAAAGGGATCTCGATGAAATTTGTCATAGATGGAAGAACACATAGGCTACTCTTACTTTTATTTTTAATTCCACGCGGACGGAGGCGCGGGCGGAAGCTAGTTTTTAATAAAATGATTTGAAGTTTTATAGAGAGTAGCTCCATCTATTAGAGAGAATAGACAACATTTGACGTTATCAAGACAGGTTATTTCATTAGCGAATAGTTTTCGCCCGCGACTCCGTCCGTATGAAATTAAAATATAAAACATAACCTATATTACTGATAATACGTTATCTATCACTATTTAATGTGAAAGAATTTTTGAAATCGCTCCAATAGATTTTAGTCTATTCATTACAAACAAACAAAGTTTTAATTTTATAATATTATTATATATTAAAAATAAAGACAATAATTCAGTATATATGATTACTCTTCTACACAATAAATTGATTAAATATTACCGAATTTAAATCATTATTATGAGAAATTGAAAATTTATATCGAAATACGATACTTATATTTTTGTCTCAATATAAATTAAGTATTATATGACAAGTCCATCATAAGACCTGTCGTATTGTATGGATCTGAATGCTGGGCCACCAAAGTTCCGGATGAAAGGAGATTGCATGTGGCTGAGATGCGTATGTTAAGATGGATGTGCGGTGTGACAAGATTGGATAAAGTTAAGAATGTGTAGATTAGAGGAAGTTTGAAAGTAGCGCCAGTGGTGGAGAAATTGAGAAGCAAAAGGTTAGCGTGGTATGGACATATTATGCGACGAAATGATGGGGACATAAACCAGAAAGTGTTGAGATTGAATGTGGATGGCTACAAAGGAAGAGGAAGACCGAAGAAAGTATGGATGGATTGTGTGAAGGAAGATATGCTTAAGAAAGGAGTGGATTCAGATATGACGGCTGATAGAGATGTATGGAAGAGCAGCACATACTGTGCCGACCCTCCATAAGGGTTAAGGGCAAGTGGATGATAAGGTGGCAAACGTGCAAGCCGCCACCTGAAGCCGCCAAAATGGCGAAGCGACCGCTGCCCATAGACATCCGCGATCGCACATGCGTTGCCTACCCTTATCCGATGGAGGAGACGCACATAAAGAGGATATTGCCCCATCGTAAGCTTCTCCTCCACCGTCAGATCCACTTCCCCTTCCCATCTTCTCCTTAAGAAAAGGGTGGTAAAGAGTAAGGGGCCTCCGGCACCACACTTATCAGACATGGAATTGCTTCCATTTCACGCCTGTCTTCTGTGTGGTCGTGGTATTACACCGGGCGTGCCGAACCTGCAGTGCTAAGATGTTAAAGCGGGCACTACCACTGCTTTGCTATTCAACTGTTTAGTTGCACAACTAAAAATCGAGTAGTGTGCACCATATGAGCTCATCGGAAAGCGAGACTAAGGTTTGTGATTAGTTTTGACACGAAGAAGCGAGCCTACAATTTTATCAAAGGCAACGCATCTGTTTTTCAGGTGTTGTGGATGTCTATAGGCGTTGTTGACCGCCTGTGTTCCCACTACTTGTTTACTACCTTCTCTAATAAAAAAACATCTTTGGATGCTCTAAGGATTTTTCTAGCAATGATGAGGTAGGCTTAATATTTTTCTGTTCAAAATAACGAGTAATCGTCTAACAGCCTTACAAATAAATGCGATATATAGTTAAACTTAGGAATAAACTAAGTATAAGCAAATATTAGTACAAATTTTACTTATACTCAGTTTATTCCTAAATATATTTATACCACGTTTGTTTGTAAGGTTGTAAATGTCTATGGACGTTAAACGATGAAATAAATTATTTCATATATTCAATCATACTTCATACTAATATTATAAACTAGCTTTCGTCCGCGACTCCGTCCTCGTGGAATTAAAAATAAACAAAAGTGAGTAGCCTATGTGTTCTTCCAGATTATCCTCTACGTCTATACTAAATTTCATCGAGATCTGTTCAGCCGTTTAGGCTACAAACTCTAACAAACATCCATTCATCCATCTAAACTTTCGCATTTATAATATTAAGTAAGATG